TGCCAAGAACTGTGGAGCCAAGCAGACTAAAGCTGTGAATAATCTCGATCTCTTCACCATCCAGCCTGATGTTGCCAATTGGTCCAGTGGTGAGAATCTTTGTCTTCTTGATATGGAGCCTCAATCCATATTGAGGGCTGCAGTCCTTGACCCTCTGCAGCAAGTGCTTCAAATATACAAATCTAAATAAAACGTACTCCACACCTATCAATCTCTATGCTGAGTAAATTAGCCAAGAAGCTGGATTCTAATAAGGAGGAGTGTGGCATCAAGATTGGAGGGAGACTTATCAATAACCTGCGTTATGCAGACGACAACCCCTTACCTGCTGTTAAGTGAAGAGGGCTTGAAGCACTTTTTGCAGAACATTAAGGAAAGAAGCCTTAAGTATGGATTGCATCTCAATATCAAGAAAACAAAGATTCTTACCACTGGACCTATAGGTAGTGTTGTGATTTTCAGAGAGAAGATTAAAACTGCCAACAGCTCATCTTGCTTGGATCCACAATTAACACCGTTAGTACCAGCAGTTAGGAAATAAGGAGATGCACTGCACTGGGAAAGTCTGCAGTTAGGGACCATTGCAAATTACTGAGTAATAGTAATGTCAGTTTTGAGACTACGGTGCATCTGATTCAGGCCACAGTATTTCTGATTACTAGCTATGCAGCTGAGAGCTGCACAGTGAATAGGAAATGACAGAAGAATTGATGCCTTTGAGCTGTGGTACTGGAGAAGAGCACTGGACATTCAATGGTCAGCCAAAAGAACTAACAAGTATGTCTCAGAAAGGGTGCATCCACAGTGCTCTTAAGAATGATGAGGTTTTGCATCACATACTTTGGACATATTGCTGAGAGGTGCTAGTTGGAGAAGGACATGATGTTGGAAAGGACGAAGGGTGAGGAAGGAGAGGAAGACCCTCAACTGGGTGGACAGATACAGGGATTGATGCAATGGGCTCTTGTGTGTCAGGAGATGTGAGGATGGTGCAGGAGAAAACAGGGTTCAAATCTTTTGTTCACAGCGTCACTATGAGTTGTCCTCGATTCAACAGTATCTAACAACAACTCCTCTCCAACGCCACCCTAAAAGGACACAGAAGCGATTTAACAAGATAGCTATCAGCATTAAAAGCAGGTTCTGTATTTACTATGCAACCATTAGGAAAGTCATTTCTGCTTTCAGTATTTCTATTATCTATAAAACAGAAAATGAAATAATTGATCAGAAAGAGATATGCATACTGCATGTGTCAAAAAAAGTCCTAGGATTATTGTACTACCTGTTAAAAAATAAGCATTCTGGTGGTACAGGGAGTAAGAAGTTGTGCTGGCAATTAAAAGATTGGAGGGTCCAATCAATCTTCTAACCACTCTTCAAAAGAAAGATGGGCAACCTCCTCCCAATTTATAGCGTTAGAAATTCAACTGAGGATCAGGTAAGTGTGGGTCCTGACTACCTGCAAACGAAGAGTTGTTTACTTTGCTTGCATTTGTTTTGAGATTATAACTACATTTACTAACTATTCCATTTTCTCTGGTATATACCCATAATCAGGCCTTTTACTACCATGAGGAAAATTAACTTTATCCATAAAACCTATACTCTTCTTCAAGACAATATATTCACTAACTTAATAAAAAGAATTCAGTAGATTTGAATGTGAAAAATTATAAAGAAAATGCAAGTGGTGTGAAGCACTACATGAAAGGACTCTTCAATTCATTCATTAGACTAAGCTGTCCCTTTTAAGGACATCGCATCAACATGTGAATAAAATTTAATCATTCTCAGACACTTGCTGAATTCTCTTTTTAGATATTAAGCACAGTCTGAAGTTAAAATGAAATGGGGGGGGAGACAATAAACTTTTTTAAAGTGGAGGTTTTATTTAGAAAAAGCATTCTAAATTATAAGCTTATTCAAAGTATCCATGTGGACAGTACATGTATATATTGTTTTACCCATCTGCCCTTTACTTCACTTTGAAGATAATGTGGGGGCATTTTAAGTGAAAGTTTTGTGGCAGCCCTGCTTCAAGCAAGTATAGTGCCACTTTCTGTCACATTTGGGAATTCTCCAATAATTCAAAGTCTTTCAAAAAGCTGTTAAATATTTACTAGCCTACAGTATAGAATAAACATAACTTTCGTATGTACCAGAAAACAAAAAGATTCATGTGACTCACTGCACTACACTACCTGCTTTGTCAGAGAAATGAAACCAAAGTTGTAATATCTCTGAGGTATGGCTGTATCTTAACTGTGTATAAAAACATTTTTTTTTTCATAATTTCCTCTGAAGCAAGCCTTAAAGGAAAGGTCATTAAGTGCTATCAAGTTGGAACTGACTCCTAAGTGAACCTCCAGCAGGTTTTCAGAGGCAGTAAATCTTGCAGAAAAAGACTGCTCAATTTTCTTCCACAGAGCAGCTGGTGCATTTGAACATTATGCCTTTGAGTTAGAAGTGCAACTCCTTACCACAAAGCTACCAGAGCTCCCTAAAGAAAATAAGAAAAATGACATTTAAAGGCGTTAAATGACCTTCCCAAGGACAGAAACTAAGCAACAGAGCAAAGATTAAAATCTAACTTCTTCCAAAATCTTGCCTATCATTGCACTGAGCTGTAATTCTGTAGCACAAAACTACCACCTGATACCTCCTATTTGGATTCATATAACATATATATTCTGAATTCTGAAAAGAAAAAGAAACTTACTTTTTCCTCAGCCTCAGATACATTATCAAAGTTCTTTATTTAAAGTTTCTAAATGGTACTATTTTTAAAGTGAAGGCTGCCAGGCAGAAATGTGCCACAATTACTTTACACTCCTAAAAATAGTGCTGTACTCTATCCCAGTAGGTTCACGTATACAAAAGGGTACACTCTGAACACTAATTTAGTAATTATATAGTAACATATAATGAAAGCAAATCCATTGTCACTGAGTCTATTCTAACTTATGACAATCCTCCACTGAGTTTCTGAGGTTATAAATCTTAATGCCAACAGTCCACTCTTCCAAGGAGCAGCTGGTGGATTCAAACCACTGACCTTTCACTTACCAGCCCAATAAGTAACTCACCAGTTGCCTAATAAATAATTGTTGTTATGGGCAGTTGAGTCACCCGCAACTCACAGCAACCATATGTACAACTCTGAAGCCTGTCATGAGCCAGTCTCACTGATTCCGATACACCTACCCCCATTGCCCTAATTACTCCATCTCATCCAAGGTCTTCCTCTCCTGCACTGTCCCTCCATCCTTCTGTGCATGATATTCTTCTCCAAGGACCAGCCTTCCTGACCACATGCTTAAAGTATGTGAGATAGAGCTTCAAAATCCTAGACTCGAAGGAGAAACTTGGTTTCACCCTCTACTTGTTTTCACCCTCTATTTGTTTTCTTGGAAGCCCATGGTTATGTTCAAGACTCTTCTCCAGCACCACAACTCAAAGTCATCAATTTTTCTGTCATCCTTAGTCATTGTCCACCTCTCTGATGCATAGAAAGTAACTGAGAAAACCATGGACTGGATCAGGATTGACATAGTTGTTTCTCAGTACTCTGGAAAGGTCCCTGACAGCAGATTTACCTAATGCAACTTGTATTTTGATTTCCTGACTGCTGGTGCCAAGACTGTTGATTATGGAGCCGAGCAAGCTGTAACTATTAACAGTTACAATCTCTTCTCCATCCATAATGATTTGGCCAGTTGGCTCATACGTGAGAATCTTTGTCTTCTTGAAGTTGAGCTTCAATCTATATTGAACGCTACAGTCCTTGACCTGTTGCAACAAGTGCTTAAGGTCCTACTCAGTTTCAGCAAGCAAGGTTGTATCATCGGCATAATGCAAGTTGTTGATGAGTCTTCCTCTAATCCTGATGCCACATTCCTCCTCATAGAGCCAGCCTACCAGATGATCTGTTACACATACAGATTGAAAAGGTATGGAGATAGGACAAACCCCTGGGATATACCCTTCCCGATTCTGAACCATGAAGTATTTCTTTGCTCTGTTCAGACAACTGAACAGTATAGATTTTCCATAAGCACAATCTGGGATTCCCATTCTTCTCAGAGTTAACCACACTTTTTGGTGATCCACACAGTTAAATGTCTTTGCATAGTCAATGAAGCACAGATAGATATTCCTCTGCTGCTTAATTTTTCAATACAAAAGAATTTATTTTATAATGAAATAGAAAATAAGAAGTGTTTTAAAATTAGTTCTGTAAGTACAAAAAAAGCAAATATTTTTTAATTAATTCATGGATCAGCAAATTAAATACACCAATACTTTGTTAAGACATTGATTACATTTATATTCTTAACAGAAAATAAACAACTAAAAACATTAAACACATATTCCAATATACTTTCCAATTCTGAATTTTCTCTAAACAAACTATGTAGGATCTATCTTCACTTCTTTAATCTTATTGTGCCAAAGTCATCTGGGGAAATCTTAGCTTCCATTCACTGATCATTAAGACGTCAGTTGCCAATGAAATCATTTCTCTCATCCTCATTCACTGGAGCTAAGTTAACAGAGAAAAATCCCTTTTGTTTCTTAGGCTCCACAAAGTGTAGGGAAAGCGTTGTTTTAATAAAGCAGAAGAAAGGATGCTAGGGGAGGAGTCTTTTAGCAGAGCTTCCATTACTCCAGAGAGGATGCTACCCCTCTAATGCAGATAGATGTTCATACTTTCTCCACCAATGAGCCTCCCCTCTTCCAAGGCCTTTTACTGCCTTCATAAGACAGATAACAGCATGTCTGCTGACATCATCATCAGAACCCCTTAAACAATCCCTCTTGAGCACCTAGTCAGTGGCCTCTGATATAGTTCCATTCTTAAGACCAGAACCAAAGGCCAAATTATTCATTAGAACAAAAGACTAGGCAAAGGGGTTCCACACCTTAAACTAATGACAATTACAATATAAATCCCTCAAAATTGTTAAAAAATAATTACAAAAAAAATTAATAATTACCAATAAGACTTCTATAATCTCTTAATCTTGAATTTCTCTTTTCTTGTTCCTCACTGACAGATTTCCACTGTAGTTTCATCCTGAAATATTCATCACTGAAGAAGAAAACAATTTTAGACCAAAAACAGTTATTTAAATTTCTTATCTTTAACAATGTTAACAGAATTTTCTAAAAACTGTATGTCAAAAAACATTTATGAAGCTAGTGGGATAAAGGTCTATAAACATGACAACATATAAAAGAGCTCTGATAAGTAAAAACAAGAGAAAGTAAAATGTTATGCATGCCAAAAAGGTTTTATGATAAACATTTACAACTCTTGAAATCATATCTAAAATTATAGTAGTCATTTTCCTTAAAATATAGCGTGAGTTATTTGTCAGTGTGTGACTGGCTTTAAATCAAAGGTTAGTAACCTAGAGCGCAAATGATGGTCACTCCCTGTCCAAAGATGAGAGGAAAAAAAAATTCAAAAAACAAAGACACGCACACACAATTAGTACAATGTACTAAGGGACCACATAAACTTCAACCTCCACAATCATGAGATAGTAAGAGCTAGGTGTTATCTACCTACCTACCACTACTGAGCACTCTGAGAGCAATTACAGTAATGATCCCAGATACACTGTGTATATGTGTGTTGGAAATATGAAATAAAATTCAAAATAATAAAATTACCAACACTTGCTGCTGAATGGTAAAGATATAAACGCCCCAAAATGTCTACCCTTGCACTAAGCTAGCTGTGTTCTTACTGGACATCTTTTTCTAGTTTCTTCCTGGAATGAGTGCAAACTCAAAACAAGTGATGAGTTTCCCCTTAAACTAAGAGTTGTGCACCATTAGCATTTTCCGTCAGCCTATGTAATTCTTAAAACTTTGCTACGTATCAAGGATTGCTTGTGTAGGGAGTGTAAAACAGCTGCTTCCCCTTATCTTCAGAGAAAGCCAGTCCACTGCCACTGGAGCTCTGCAGGGCTGCTTCTCCCTCATCAGTAAGTTTCCCATTCCAATAAACTAAAACCAATGCCTTTTAGTCTATCTCAGAGTTAGATTTTTCAGACTGCCAGTAAACATGAACTTTGAGGGCCTGTCACTCTGGGGAGCAAACGCCAACAGCTAGTCCAGTAGAGATTAGTGAAACACCTAAGACTATGAACTTACATACCCTTCAAAATTATCTCAAACCTACAGCTCAACTTTCAGTCAAAAGAAGATACAAATCTTTAATATAGTGAACAACAGCACTAGGGAAATAGTCACTCCTTACACAGTCAATCACACAAAAGGTAACCACCACCAAAGTTAAAGCTCAGAAGGCAAGAAAAGAAAGGACAGAAGGATCACTGTAAAGGATAATTTCTAATAAAAACAGCAATGTGTCTACGGTTCAGCACAAGATAAAATTTAATGAAGTTTGGGACTTTATTCTCTGAATGTGTTTCCATGAGTGATTACCTTATCTGTAATAAGATTCAGCATTGTGTTTTGACTTATCACTATTTACATATTTAATTTCCATTTTTTTACTCCTATAAGTTAGTTAACTAGGAAATGGTTTTATTCAGGACCATTAGTCTCAAGTTAAGCCTATGATCTCATATTCTGGGCAAATGTTACTGTTTTAAAAAGTAAAAGGGATCCTGTACTAAGAAGGAAAGCACTATTTGTGGAAAGGTAAATCAGTTCCCCAAGTAGGAAACACTTTAACTCTGGGAAGAGAGATAATATGTCAAATGAGTGGCATCTGGACACAGTTTCTAGAATATAGTCACTCTTTGTAGAACAGGGGCACTGTTTCCGTAGTAAAATGTATCTCACTGTCTTCCAAATATGCTAATAAAGTACAAATTAATGAGCAATCATCTCTTCTCATTGGATAACTCGTTGGAAGGACTGATTATCTAGTTATTAATGGAAACAATCACAGAGAGAAGAATGCTGTTACAATGTAGGAATTGTAATTAATGTCACAAAACAAAGTCTCTTTGAATGCAAAGCTGATTGGTACTGTAAACTTTCACTCAAATCACAATGAAATGTTAAAAATAAGTAAGTCTGAAAATACAAAGTAAGTCTAAGGCTAGACTGATGAACTAAGACGTACACCTGTAAGTAGAAGTGTTTCTTTTTCAAGTCTGAGAAGTAAACAGAGTATTCCGAAAAATTAATGAACGACTAGTTTCTATTATAAGAGCATGAGAGAAATCATTTACAGACAATTATTATAAATAGCAAATTCACTTCTCATGAGTCATTTTAGGTTACAAATTTTAAGGATAAATGTATTTCAAAACATGTATAAACAATTCTTTCTCTTTCAAAATGAGAAAGGTTTGTACAAGATTAAACTTTTTACCATCTTTTTTTAACACATTCATGAATATGAGATCCTTTTAAATAAATGTTTCTGGTTTAAAGCAACTACAACAATCATAATTTTTCAAGCTATAAGGAGGAAAACAAAATTATTTTCCCATTTCCCAAGCTATGCCAAATCCTCATCTACAAATCCTATTGGCCAAATTATTTTGCTGATAAAGACACGAAAGGCTATTACTTACGTTTTCTGTTTTTGTAACTGAGTTCTTTCCTCCTTGGTACTATACCAAGGAAAATAGCCCAGAAGAAATTTCCACGCTTCTTTTCTCAATGCATGGCTAAGTCCCTACAGAAAATATTAAACATGTTAATGATCAAGAGAACACTACAAAGCTTGCATATAAATAAACATGATTAGTATTTAAGAAATACTTTCATGAAAAAGAGTAGTTCAATTTTGTGTACATCTAGTTATTAACTTCTAGATTTTGATGATGTCAACATATCCCAGAAAGTTTACACCTTAAAGAAAGCTGCAAAGAAAATTACAAATAGTAAAACTGGTAAGTCTTTTAAGTCCAACTTTACTGGATAAGACAACCACACCAGAGTGCAAGCATCTTTTACATAATTCAAAATACCCGAAGAAAGGAACTCTATCTTTCTGTAGGCCTAAGGATATGTGCCTTTTCCCTGGCCCAGGAAGACTATAAGTACCTTACTCTGCCCCACTCAACCCAGGATCTTAAGGCATCATTCATCAAAGAAATCAGTGTTCATTACACCTTTTAAAAAAAGAAGCCTGAATACTAGCAGTTTATATATAAATCCGTATTCTTTCAATTACCCCTCTGAATATCATGTGTTTCATGTTATCCACATTTAAAATTCTTCCTTCAGCGTCCATATTCTTAGTCCATTCTTCCAGTGATATTGGCTCTCTTCTTTGAACAACAGGTCGCTCTCCCAAATCAATCTAAAACAAAACAAGTAATAGTATACTTTTAATCAAAATAACATGTTTCTGTATTTTATACAGAAACAAAATCTAAAATTCTCTTCCTTAGACATGAGTTCTAACACTTTTAATATTTTCCCTTATTGAGTTTGTAAGTTATAATGATTAGCATTACATCCTTTTGCTGTTGAAATATTCAAATAAGTGGGTTACACATTAAGATAGGAAATCACATATATTAAAAACAACACTTGTTCTTTTTAAAAAATGTTGTTTACTATTCTGGATTTTAATAATATAACTGCAGAACATTCAACAAGTAAATTCTATAAACTTCACACTAAATGATACACTCTGATTTAAAAGGAGAAAATATGTAATTATTCCATTAATCATATTCTAAAATTAGCTTTTCTTCCAAATTGAAATTTGCAGTTCTCAGAATTGAATCATGATCCATTAGCTTCATTTGGTATTTTCTACAATTTCTGATTCAATTAACAGATGTTAGTAATTTAAAAATACCATTTGCAAGATAAGACTTTTAATTAAGTACTATAATTTATATATTTGTATTTTTCTAACTATGTAGAAGCCTAGAATTATAGCAAATTCCAACTCTTTTCAGCATGTATGAAGATTTGCCATTCAGAATCAAAACTGATCTTACAAAAAAAAAGCCATAAAGCAATATCCTCATCAGTTACCTCAGAAAGCCAAGTGTAAAATCATGCAGATTAGGGGAAAAAAAACAGTGGAAATGAACAAATTCACTATTCACTGACTGCTACGTCTTCTAGAAAACAATTGGTCCATTAAAATAAAAAAGTAATTTCAAGACACAATAAAAGACCTAAAGAAGTGGAAAAATGTTTCCTGTTCATAGATAGCATGACTCAGTATTGTGAAAAGGACAATTCTAACAAAAGCAATCTACATGCTCAATGTAATACCATCAAGGATACCAAATTACTTTTCAAGAAGATTGAAAAAGAAACTGTCAAATTTATTTGGAAAGGAAAGAGACCCCAAATAAGCAAAGCAATTGTGAAAAACAAAAATGAAGTGGGAGGCATAGCACAGTATAAAACCTACTACACAGCAGTAGTAATTGGTACTACACAGCATGGTACTGGTACAATAACAGGCACACAAACCAATGACACAGAACTGAAAACCCAGAAATGAACCCAGCTATCTATGGTTAACTGATATTCGGCAAGAAAACAAAGCCTATCAAATGGACACATGACAATCTCCTCAAATTATGGTGCTGGCAAAACTGGACTGCTACCTGAAGAAAGCTGGATCAGTATCCACATCTCACACCATACACAAAAACCAACTCAAGGTGGATCAGAGACTTAAGCATAAAATTAATCAAAGATAAACGGAGGTTACGCTTAGGTGGCCTAGTCTATGGTATAAAGGGACTGCCAAATACAGGCAGAAATGCACAATCTGGAGAGGATAAAATTAATGATTGGGATCTTCTAAAGAGTAAATTCCTGTGTGCATCAAAACCTTTTTCCAACAGTATGAAAAGAAAACTTACTGACTGGGAAAAAACATTTGGCAGTGCCATTTCAGACAAGGGTCTCATGGCAAAAGTTTACAGAATCCTACAGGGCCTCCACAAGAAAAAGACTGGTAACATAATTACAAAATGGGCAAAAGACATGCAAAGAATTTTCAGAGGAAGACATCCCGAAGGCAAACAGACACGTGAAGAAATGTTCAAATTCACCGGCAATAAGACAGATGCAAATAAAAATCACAATGAGACACCATCTCACTCCAGTAGTAGTGGCAAAGTTTATCAGGACATCAAGTAATAAATATTGGAGAGGATGTGGCAATATAGGAACTTTCCTTTTTTTTTAAAAGACTCAGATATAGTTTACTAAAAACAAGGAAACTAGGCTGATGGGAAAATTACCTTCAAATGTGTAGAGAGTGCTTTGCAAGTCCCTATGGCGGGAAACAGCTCCTCATTCTCAAATTTGTCATCAAAATTGGTGGCCAATACCTTCACGTCCCTCTTCTGACTTTATTCCTCTGTGTAACTACTATCTGGGCTCTCCAGGTCCTGGGCACAGCTGCTGACTGATGGTGGGTTTGGGGCATTATGCATTCCACTCTGTCGGTGAGCCTAGTCCCCTCATGCTGGGAGCCTGCCTTCCACCTCAGCCAGGCAGGCCTCAAATTTCTGGATCTCCAGTGGAGTTTTTCTATATTTTGGCCAACTTCTGTCAATTTGTGATCTAAACTGGCTGGGTCTCCCATTTGAGGAATCTTCAGGTAGACATCTTTAATTTTTGTGATGGCATCTCTTTGATCCATCTCCTTTTGTATTTCTTTATTTAATTCACCGACCTTCTGTTGCAGCTTTTCCCTCCTCTGTTCAGGTGGCAGGCTGCTGAAATCCTCTGGTGTTGCAGTCCCATGCTTTAGACTCCTGAAGCAGTGGATTTGGGTTCTGGAGGTCATGAACTCGTTGAAGCGATGGGAGAGGGGTTCCTTTTGCTGCTTGGGAGACTTGAAATAGCAGAGGGTGAGGAAGCGGGGTGAGGTGGGCTGATGTGGGGATATTAAAAGGGAAATAAGCTTACCTTTTTTCCTTAATGAATAGCCATAACTTTCCTTTAGATTTTCCACCAAATTTGAGCTCCAATTTGTCTTCTCCTCTGGAATTGGACGTGTGCTTCACTGGCTGAATGTAATCCCTCAAATTTAATGTCTCCAGGAGGCTCAAACCCTGATTTATAAACTTCATTCACCAGCAGTGAATCATTTTTCTGATCAACTGAAACAGCTCCCTTTACTATTCCATCCAAGCATTTGTCTATAATTGGTATCACCTACCAATCAACTTTTGTACCTATCTTAATGGATTCTCCTATTCTCCTTTCCTCCATCTCTTTTATCTTCTGAAAGATGTTGAGTATGTGTGTATGGTAATATTCGTGCTGCTTATGGTTGTACTTTGGGGAACTTAAGAGTAATCTGCTTTGCTGTCTTCTGCCATTTGGTGACGTATTTGAGCTTGCTGTCGTGCCTTTTCCACATCAGCTTTTACCACGTTTATGTCAGCATCCATTTTCTCAAAATACTGTTGTACTCAGTCAGCCTCTTAGTCTCATTCAAATCGCCTTTTACTTGATTCAATTTGCTTCCAGCAAGTCTATGTGCTTCTGTGCTTTGCGTCCATCATGGAAATGCCATTTCCTCTCTTGCTTCATAGCATGCACAGTGGTCCACAGTGATCTGGGAGGTCATGTTCTCAGAGATCACTTCATGCTGCCCAGTGTAGTCGTTCATTTCATTCAGGGTGCGGAAGAATTTACATGTGTACTTAACTTGTATTCTTCCTCCTCCTCTGAGTTCTTTTTAGGTTGGTATTTCTTTGACAGAGTCCTGAGTTGCTTTGCACAGCTGAGTTCAATCTCTGTCCTTTCCTTTACACATTGGATATATTACTCAAGAATATCAATGTCCCACCAGGTGTGTTTTTCGAGATTGTCAAACTGATCCCACAGCTCAGTGCCCCAGCTCATGGTGCAGGGAGCACTGAGGGGTGCTCTGCATGGCCGGAGCAGCTCCTGCAGGCCCCACCGCAGCAAGACACCCCAGGTGAAGAGAGCCCTGTGCCTGCATGCCACAGGCGTCACTGCCCCATTGTCCACCTGCTCTGCACAGGAGCAGCGAGGGGAGGGGAAGATAGGAACTCTTATACATTGTTAGTGGGATTATAAAATGGTACAACCATTCTAGAAGCCAGTTCAGTGTTTCCTCTGAAAGCTGTACACAGAAATTTCACTTCTTGGAATATACCCCGAAAAAATGAGAACTGAGGCATAAACAGAGACTTGAACACCAATGTTCAAAGCAGTGCTATTCACCATTGCAAGAACACAGAAAGAGCCTAAATGTCTAAACACAAATGGATTGAGGAATTATGGTACATTCACACAATGGAATACAATGCTGCTCTTAGGAGCAATGATTTTGTAAATGATTACCTAACTTAGGAGCAACTGGAGAACATTATGCTGAGATCACTCAGTCCTCTAAGGACAAATACTGTATAAGATCATTATTGTAAAACAAGTATGAGACTCTAAGGTGGGGGGAAATGGTGGGAACAGAGGTATGACGATGGGCGGGGGTGGGGGTTAATCATAGATTGCAAAATCTGATGGGTGGAGGGGGTGAGTAAAGAAATGGGAACAATCTGGTGTGAAAAACAATGTATTTGAGCTTTTAAGTAAACCAGTATATAATAAAAATTTTATTTCAATATATAAAATTAATCCCAGAGGCATGCGGTTCAAATCCACCAGATGCTCTACTGGAGAAGGAGGGGACTCTCCTGCTGTACCAGTCAGATCCAATTTGACGGTACACACAAAATAGTAAAATAAAATATAAAAATAAATAAAAAATTAAATGTACACATATCAGGGGGAAAAACATCACAAACCAGTAATCAAAGACATAGTGATAACTTGAGCTAAGGACAGAAAAAAAGAGTTTGTTTTTAAGAAGTAATGATTTTACAAGCTGGCGAGGGTGTGGTGACACTGGAACCCTTATTCACTGTTGGTGGGAGTGTAAAATGGTGCAACCACTATGGAAGGTAGTATGGTGCTTTCTCAAAAAGTTGCAAATAGAAGTATCACTTGACCCAGCAATTCCACTACTGGGAATATATCCCAAAGAGACCATAACTGCCACCCAAGCAGATATATGCACACCCATGTTTATTGTGGCTTTGTTCACAATAGCAAGGAACTGGAAAAAACCAAAGTGTCCATCAACAAACAAATGCATAGAGAAGCTGTGATATATTCACACAATGGAATATTACACTGCAATGAAAAACAAGGAACTCACGAAATACTATTCAAAATGGGTGACCTGGAGGACATTTTGTTGAGTGAACTATCTCAGTCACAAAAGGACAAATACTGCATAGTGCCACTGTTGTAAAATGGGACTGACATCAGGGTTGGGGAGAGAATGAGAAAGATGGGATAAATAATGTATACTGCATTGAAATAGATAAGGGAGAAAACTGTTTAAAAGGGTATGTGATTAGGTATTATTGTCACGACAGGGGTGCAGAAAGAAGACTGCATAGTGGAGTTGGCCTGGGGGTAGGAATTATAAACAATGAAAGAAATTTTCTTTTACTTTTCAAAGAGAAGAGTGAACTGAGGGGGGAGGGGGTTGGACAGGGAGAAAAGTGCAACAATGAATTAATGGAAATCCAAAGTCTCTGTAACGTTTCATTAAAATTAATAATTTAAAAAACAAAGAAGTAATGAGCTTATGATGGTAAATTTGGCAACAATTATGGATTATGGCTGCACGTGATTAATGTAAATTTATGTCATTAAATTGTATATTTGAAAAAGTTGAACCGATAAATGTTGTCCTACACACACACACACACACACACACACACACATAATCTTTTTAAAAAGTTAAAAGAGATCTAACAATCTAACAGAAAAAAGTGTAAGTAATCAGTGGAGAAAAACACTCAAGAATTTGGTAGCAAGCCACACACTGGCTGTAAAAAAAGATTACTCAGCAAAAACATTAATGTTTATGGGGGGAAAAGGTAGATATCTACAAACTGAGTTTATATTTCTTAACAGTCAGTATACATTTAAAAAGCATTTCATCTGTTAATAGGGTAACAGCTGTCTATACTTACTTTTGTGATTACTTCAAATCCTGGTTCTTCTTGTTGATTTATTCTTAGACCTGGAATAGCGTCACTAAGAAAATCAGCCATTTCTGAAGGCGGTCGTTGGTGAGTAGAGGTATCACTGCCTCTCAAACTATCAAAAATGTAGTTTGTGACTTTTGAAAATCCTACCATAGTGGCTGTATAAGGATCCTTTTTAATTTTCTATGTAATAGGGAGAAAAATTAGCATTATTAACTTAAATTTAAAAAATAATAACCCATAATGGGCAAATGGAAACATTAAAAAGGGAGAAAAGGGAAAATCAGAACTAAAATAGTGTCTTCTAAGATTCTTTATTTTTTACTTTGAAAATTTACATTTTTAAGTGAATTCTTTCATTCTGTTAAACTAGTACTATAAATGACAAGTTATTATTATTGATCACATTTCAGATACATAAATGATTTGAAGCTTCATTTAATCTGCATCAGTAATAGATAGTGCTTACTTTCCAGTGGTGAATGACCCACAACAGGTTTCTTCTGTCTAGCAGTCCTGCCTTCACAAAAAAATATTTCTTGAGATATACACTATCACAATAATCTAATACAAAATTCCAACTCATTATAATTAAACATGAGATGACATTTTAATATAATTAATAATTAAAAGCAAATTAATTTGTTCTAGGACACTCGTCAACTAGAAATCAGCAAGAAGTTTTTCTATTGCTGACTGTCGTAGGGTTACTTCTAAGATCCAAACTGTCTATTCTTTCATATTTAGCAAATATAGTTGCCTTGAACTGAAGGACTGTCTATCTTTAAAATTATTATTTCCACAATAGAAAAAAATAGTCCCTTTCATTTTTATTTTAAATAGCTTTTATCTCTCTTATCCTCAAATCCAAGAGACTATCAGTACTATATATAGCACACAGTCAAGTATGTGTTGAATAAATAAGTAAATAAATAAATGTAAACAGAACTCTCTTTAATTTGCCTAAACTGACTGCTCATTAATTCAAAATAACTTACCCAGTGCTCCTAATTTAGATCAATAACTACAGCAATGAAAGTCTATTGATATTCAATTTCAGGATTATGATAAAAGAAACCTTTATCCTAAGAGTTAACTAAGAAACAAAGAAGCTTCTGTACCTTTAACTAATATGAACAATATTATTGCTACAAAAGTACAAAAACTAAAAAAAAAGTACAAAAACTCGTTCTATAAAGTTGGCATACAGTCACAAACACACCCGGCTCATTCTGTGTACTGAGATGAAAAGTAGAAAATATGTCAAATAATGGAATAAGATTAATGTAAAATAGATTTCAAAAACATACTTGTATTAAACCATATGCTGGTTCATCAAGAAGATTTTCAAAAGACTGTGAAAGACTCTTATTCTGACAATTCACAAGAAGTGTCCTTTTATCTTGTGGAGAGCTGGAAAAAAAATGAAGAGATTTATAGAAAATACTAGTATACTATATCAATTACCACCTGAATAACAATTAGTGCTATTTTTACAATAAAAATCTTCTAAATGTTCAGTTCTAGACCAGCTTCCTTTAATATTAGCAAATATTTGGTGGCTATTTAAATAAGTTTCAAAACTACATGAAACAAAATACTAACAAGTGTAAGAGCATTGAAGTGTATTTTTATAATAGTTAAAAGCCAAGAGTACTATATTGTAATGAAAATAAAATCCTCATTTAGAGTTACAGTACAAAGACTCTCGCAATATAGTTGCTTTTACTGTAATAAAAAAAATAGTCAAGAAAAGTTAAGACATTTTAGAATTTCATCAGTATTAAAATCATGTCCCATAGGAAAAATGTCTTCATTTAAATTGTTTTCAACCTCATTTCACAGTTCGGTAGGTAGAAATGCAGTGTTAAAAAACATATGCACACCCATGTTTTTCGCGGCTTTGTTCACAATAGCAAGGAGCTGAAAACAACCTAAGCACCCATCAGCAAAGGAATGAATAGAGAAGCTATGGTATCTTCACACAATGGAATACTATGCTTCATTGAAAAACAAGGAACTCATGAAATATTATTCAAAATGGGTGACCCTGGAGGACATTATGCTGAGTGAAATATCTCAGTCACAAAGGGACAAATACTGCCTACTGCCACTGTTCTAAAATGGGACTGGCATCGGGGTTAGGGGGAGACTGAGAAAGACGGGATAAGTAATGTATACTGCATTGAAACAGAGGAGGGAGAAAACTGTCTAAAAGGGTTATGTGATTAGGTATTATTGTCATGACAGGGGTCCAGAACGAAGGCTGCATAGTGGAGTGGACCTGGGGGGAAGGATTGTAAAACAACTAAAGAATTTTTCTTTTACTTTTCAAAGAGAAGAGTGTACGGGGGTGAAGGGGTGGGCAGGGAGAAAAGTGCAACAGTGAATGAATGGAAATCCAAAATCTCTGTAAATTTTCATTAAAATTAATAAAATGATAAAAAAATAATACGTTAATGAGTACTAAAGACATCAAAATATACTAAACATAAGTACATTATCACCATATAGAACAAAGTTATAAGATATACAATAGTACTACATCCACTATTATGGAGTCAAGGCCAACTCAAAGTATTGCTTCAGACACTCCATAAGTTTTCAAAGACTATAAATCTTTGTAGAGTGAGGTGAATGCCTCATTTTCTCTCACATCTGGCTGGAGGATTCACACTTCTAACCTTCAGGTGAACAGTCCAACAACTGATTCCCTGTGTCTCCATAGTTCCAATTCAGTTATTATTTTTAATCCTTACTAAACTTTGAAAGCAAGTCTATTTCCACATTTGTAAAAAATAAAATGGTTTCCAAATAAGTATCTAAACATAATCAGAAGGCTTGGCAACTTTTTCTATTTATTAAACTTGTAAGTTCACAACTTTTCTGTCTTGAAAATAAAAACTAAACGTGTTATTTTCTTGCTATCTACCTCTAGCTTATTATAGATTCTCAAGATAAGAACTTTAATAACAGTTATCTTGTCTCAATTCTAACATAACAGGATGAAACAGCAATGCTAAGAAAACAGGAAATCCAAAATATGATCTTTTTTATTAATATTTAGATTTGCCTTCCTTCTTCTTTTAATTTAAT